TTTTTCTAATGATTCAAAATTATTTTTGTGGTATAGGATTCAACTTTCTGAAGGGGTATCAATTTTGATTATAAATTGAATTACTATTAAATTACATTCATTGATAATATACAGTTCGAATAATATTAATTTTTCTACGAAAATATCGCTTTTATTTAAATACTATTTTAAACTAACTAAAAATATATCATCAAAAAGTATACTTTAATTATTGCATATTAAAAGGCCTGTTTGATCTTAAAAATATTAAAAATATTTATGTTGTTTAAACAAGTTATGAATTTTAATAAAAGTATTTGAGCTCTATTTTAGATATTTGTATTCTCAATTGAATTAAGTTGGCGGTGACAACGTGAATATTTCCCTGGGTGACATCACCTCTTATGTATGCAACTGCAGTAAATAAGTTTTAAATAATAAACTTAAAATACGATAGGAAAATTAATTAGAAATGAAATCATATGAGAGAAAAATGTTAGTAAAAAAATAATAACGTAGTATCGTATGAATTAGCATGGGACATAGAATTCATTCATAACATTCCTGCTACATTCCTGGTGCGGGCATGTTACAATGACGAAGGTTGTTCGCGACACACGACGTACTGTATTCGAGCATCAACGCCATTCGGGGCTACTTCTGTCGGCATGTACGAAGTGAAACTACTTTTCTCGCTGTATGAAAGTCAGTCGGCTCGGAATCACACGAGAAGAACAGAAAGTGCAACGCTTATGTTCTGTCCAAACTAAGAGACGAAGGCGAAAAATCTTTTAGGTTCTTTTCTAATTGTCGTGGCGATACCTATACAACTATGAAAATTGTACTGAAACAGGAGTGTCTCGTAGGAAAAATTATTGAATTTTACGAATTTACTTAGTGAAAAATAGTGAACTTAATGTATTAGTACCGGTGTCGGCCGCCGGCAACGTGGATCGCAACCATCGCAGATCTTTTCTTATAATTATTTCAGCTTCAGATTTTTAATAACACCCCAAAGAGGCAAAATTTTCTACTTCTGGTCCTTCAAAATTTCACATTTAAACTCGCCCTAGTCGCTGAAATTTCACATTTAACCATGTGCCATCTGTTGTATTGACACAAATATTATTTCTGAGTGAAACGTCTCCATTTTTGCCGTGATTCTCTGGCCTCTTTCGCCACCGCACACGCTTTAATACTCGAGGCGCCGGTTGCCAACACTTCGCCTCCCCCCGGCGGTGCCGCCGCCGCCACCGTCGTCGTCATCGTCGCCGCCGCGGTCTGTCGCTGCGCTGTGCTGCGCAGCTGCACCCCGCCGACTGCACGCGTGTGTGTGTGTCCGCAGACTGCCCCCCGCCCGACCGCAGCAGCTCGGCGCGACCTCTGCCCCGCCATGTCCATGACCGGCAGCCTCATGCAGCCCTACGACAACAACAACGACGTAGCCCACAAGGGCAAGGCCAGAGGCGGCAAGGCGGCAAAGGTAACGTAGCGCGCCGCTTGCCTCTGCCAGCGCGCGTTGGCTTGGTGCTGGGACTTTTAGTGATTAACCTCTGTAGGCCGATAAGCCGCAAGTTACAGACGCGGTTGAAGTTTCTAAACCGAGGCGATGGCCGACGTTTGTGAACAATCGAGTCTGTTATTTGTGTTATCGGCCGTGTGTCGTTCAGTACTTTTCGTAATACTACATTCGCATCTGAAACAGCAAACAAGAAAGGCCATTTCTTGGAATAAGTACTCGTATACTCACATGCCATATTTAGTTCAACCCATTTGTTTTGATTGTTTTTAACGAACATTCTTCAGTTAAATTCTTCCCACGCCGGGCATTAAGAGTTGCTATTCGAAACTCTGTATCCGTTAAGTTGATCAAACAGAACAGTATTACGAAAATCAATCGATCTGGTGGTGGACTAACAGAAATGATGTTATCGTCGAAGTGATATGAGGTGTATTTCTATCCTTCTTGATAATTCTTTGTGAAGATAGGTTCATGACCTGTTCTAGCTGACCTGTAAATACTCGTATAGTGTAAGCCCATTTCAATTTTTGTCTTTATTATTGGTAAATTCTTTTCTTCTCCTTGGAGCTATCATATTTTCTCAGTGATAATTTAGAATAATTATCTGCACATCTCGTGTGAAGGATATGTTTACATACCTGTGTTGAATTGTGAGAGTGTCGCCCTGTGAACTGGAATATCAAGAAAAAATGCGTACACTGTTCCAATACCAAACGTTCAAATCAAAACAAAATTGAATGTGATATAACTGGACCCTTTAAGCACTGCGTGGTCGGACGTTTTTCTCATTATTGCATTGTTTATAGTTTGACATTACGATACAATATATATTTTGTTGGTATGGAGTAGATGTTCATGAAATTATATAATACTTTTTCTCTATGAAATAATTATCGTTTTCGTCACAGGCATCACCATATACGCTTGGCATAATATTAGTTGTCCTGTGAGTTCTGGTTTTGTTCTTTGTAGAACTGCTTATCTTGTAGCTGATGCTTTAAAAATAATTATCGACACATTCCTAGCAGTAAAATTGTTGCGCATTCAACAACTACATGACCGTGTAAATATGTAATGAATTCCTGTAGAAATTTTAATCATATGAATTCTGATTTCGAGAACTGAACCATAAATGAATGGCAATAATTGGCCTCATATTGTAATATCTAACTAAGAAATATTTTATCTGATAGATGCACAATGATACCATTTTTATATTAGTTCAACTGTGTCAAACCTGAAGAATAGTTTCCAGTAGCATAACCAGAGATAAATTTTCAAATAATTGAAATTCATTTCCTTAATTTATAAATTTATATGAATAAATAATTTAAATTCATCAATGCAAACAAATATTTTCAATAAATTTGCTTGAAAATTACAACTTCAGTCACTTTCCTTTAAATATGAAAACTTTTTTATTATACTTTCAGTTAATAATTTATATAAGATGAGTTTGTGACCAACAAACAATTGATGTAACAATTAATGGTATGCAATGGCGACGACGAGAGTTCGTGTGTCTTGGTACTCCTGTTGTTTTTATTGTTGTCTTTACTACAAACCCATTGTTCTGTGATCCTCAGGTGCAGATCCAGACGAATCGGATGGTCAAGCTATTAGCATTGACACAGTATCTGCTGTTGTTTTCGTTGTCCATGTTGATGTTATTTTTGGGTACTTGTATAGCTGAATACTCATGACCTTTGGTGTGACTTGGAGGCAGATCCGGCTGAAACAAACGAGAATTACCTTATTTTCCTCATCGTAGTTGGATTTTATGTAGCTTCTACTCGTAATAAATGTCCTTTCTACCGTTTATGCAGAAGTCAATCCAGCCCAAAACAATTTCGTTTGCCTTGTTGGGCTGCCTTTATGGTTGTCAATATTGCTGTTGCGTTCGTTTTTAATGAAAATGAAGACCCTGTAACATAGGTGCAGATCCAAAGTAGCTGAGCGAAATCTCATTTATTTTGTCGTTATTGTTATGATTACTTTTGTGTCCGATTTGAAGCGAAATTCATGACAGATTGTTCATAAATGTACATCCAGTATCAGATGTTGGATATTATTAATTTGCTGTTGCCTTCGAAAGAAATACGAGCGACGAACGTTCTTTCCTGGTGGTCACAGGAGTATATCCAGGCAGTGCTGTAGTCCTTGGCGTTATTGCAGCTACCTTTTATTTGTATACGATATGAGTCGTGAACCCCATTTTCTGGTATTAAAAGATGTAGTGGAAGCAGTCATTGTTGTTTCTTGCCTTTCCACTGCCATTGCCATTGTTACTGTTGATTTTGAATGCAATGTGAGGGGCGAACCCTCTTTCTTGATGACCGCAGGTGCAGATCCCGTGGAAGCAAGCATTATGGTTTCTTTTGCTAATGCTGTGTCCTTTGTATGAAAGAAGTATGACAAAACCTTGTTACTGGTATTCACAGGTTGTAGGTGTCGACAAAGTAGTTATACGTTGCCTTGTCATTGTCGCCGCTATTGCCGTTGCTTTTCATGTAATGAAAGTGACGAACACTGCTCCCTGGTGTTCCCAGGTGGCTGAACCACTGGAAGCAGGCACTGCCGTTACTGTTGGTACTTCTGTTACCTTTGTATGCAATGCGAGTTCCACTTCGTTGCATTCGTAGTTGGATATCCAGTCAAAGGAGTCGTATGTTCCCTTCCCAAATCCTTGTCGTCATTGCCGCTTTTTTATACATTGCCAGTGTCGAAGTTTATAGTCTAGTTTCCGCAGATGCAGATGTAATGAAACTAGTCACACGTCTTGCCATTGTTGTCGTTGTTATTGCTGTTGATTTTCATGTAATGGGGGTGACTTACCCGGTTTCCTGATACTGCAGATGCAGATCCAGTGGAAGAACGCATTGCTGTCTCCGTTGGTTTTATTGTTGCTATGCATCTAATGGGAGAGATGTACAGAATTTCTTGTTGCCGCAGATTCAGATCTAGTGAAAGTATACACTGTTGTTTCTGTTGCTACTGATGTTGCTTTTCGAGTAAAAAGAGTGAGGTACCTGTTTCCTCCAGATGCATTTCCAGTAGAAGAACGCACTGTTACCTCCGTTGCTATTGCTATTGTCATTCATGTAATTGGAGTGTTTCATCCTGTTTCCTGTCACTTCAGATCCACTGAAATCTCGCATGATGTTTCCGTTGCTTCGTGTAATACGAGTAAAGTATCCTGTTTCCTGGTGGTCGTTAAAGCAATTCCTGTGGAATGCATTGTTGCCTCGTATCAATTGGTGTTGCTATTCTTGTAACAGTGACGTATCCTGTTTCCTGCTACCGAAGATGCAGATTCAGTGGAAGCAGGTATTGCTGACTCCGTTGCTATTGCTGTTGCTTTTCGTGTAATACGAGTAATGTACCCTGTTTCCTGGTGATCGCAAATGCAGTTCCTGTGAAAGAATGCATTGTTGCCTCGTTGCAATTGGTGTTGCTATTCATGTAACAGTGACGTATCCTGTTTCCTGTTACCGCAGATGCAGATCCAGTGGAAGCAGGCATTGCTGACTCCGTTGCTATTGCTGTTGCTTTTCATGTAATGGGAGTAACGTACCCTGTTTCCTGGTGGTCGTAGATCCACTGGAAGCGCGCGCTGCGGTTGCCGTTGTGCGCAAAGCGAGTGACGGAGCCTCTTGCCCGCTGTCCGCAGGTGCAGATCCAGTCGAAGCAGTCGGGCGCGGCGGGCGGCGCGGGCGGCGCGGGCGGCGGGGGCGTGGCCCGCGCCCCGGCGTGGGAGCGGGCGCCGGGCGTGGGCGCGGGCGTGGGCGCGGGCGGGTCATGCGGCAGCCTGGGCTCGGGCAGCAGCGCCGGCTCGCGCGCCCGCAAGAAGGGCAGCGGCTCCGCCTGCTTCCGCGCCCACTTCAACAGCCTGTGGTCCGTGTGGTACGGGCTGTGCGCCGCGGGCGTGCAGGCGTACGTGGCCGCCGTCAGCGCCGAGCGCTACCTGGGCGTGGCCAGCCGCCTGCCGCCGCTCGAGTCGCACGCCTACATCGGCCTCACCGGTGAGTCCGGTCATGAGGGTGAGGAAGGTTAATCTGGTTAATAGGTTGCGTCTGGTTAATAGGTGGCAATGTGGGAAGGATCTGTAACATGAAATGGTTGGTGAATGTGTTAGTGATGAGCGAAGTGAGTGTGTGAATGACTAGTGAGTGAGATCAGTGGACATGATTAGCAAATTACTGGATTAATTAGTGAGTCAAATAGACACTGAAGGCCATGTGTACAGTGGGATAAATGACTAAAAACATGTGTAAATGAAAGAATTTTTGATAGTTAATGAGTTAGTAAATGAGAGAATTAACGGAGGAGTGAAAAAAAATTACGAGATAGTGAGAGAATTGATGAGGCAGTAAGAGAACTGACGAGATAATGAAGGAAATGACGAGGAAGTGAGAGAATTGAATAGTGTGAGAGAGAATTGAGTAGTAGGTGAGAAAATTAACGTATGAGAGAGGATTGAATTATTGAGAGAATTTACGAGTGATTGAGAGAATTGCCGAAATATTGAAAGAACAGGCAAGAGTGTGAATGTATTGACTAGTAAGTGACAAAGTTGATGAGGGAGTGCCAGATTCGACGTGTGGATGAGTGGGAGTTTACAAAAGAGTGAGTGAAATAATACGTTAAAGAGTGAATGAATGAATTAGTGATTGAATGAACGACTGAATCAACTCTTAATCAATGACTAATCGTAACACATGAGATTATTGAATTTCAAACGATTGAAAATAATTTGCCCAATCCGTAGAGACCATACATTGCAATTCGTAAATGAAGTGCTTTTTCCATGATGATTTTAAACAGTAGTGTCACAAATAATTATAGAAAACAAACTCCTCTTTAAAAAGGTTAAAATATACAAAAAAATGGAGTTACAATGCGGAATGGAATTTGAGGAACAGGTGGTCATCAAATATCATTATTCCTATCCAATTAAATAACACCAGATTCATCGCTTTGTTATTCTGTAATTCTACGTAATGGTACTATGTTATCCATATAGATGGAACAAGACGATGGAACCCTTGAGTTCAGCCGAGACTTGGTTAAGAATAATTGATTGCGCCAGAAGAGCAACGCTCCGCCGAAGGCATTCGTTGTGCGTCCAGTCCTTGACCTCCATCGATCTCACTGAAAGGGAGCGAATGAACTGCCCGGGCGAATAAAGGGGACGTACGAATGCATTTGAAGAGGCAGAGTAGAAGGAACGAGGTTGTTTACTCTGTGAAATGCATTGTGAGAATTTAGCTTCACATATCTGTTATTTTTCCTATTGTAAACACTTGTGTGACCAAATTAGATAGGATTCTTTCCTAACATCATAATATAATGAGTGATTTTCATGAAAAAAATTCTTACATGATTTACGGCATTCTAAAATCATTACCCAGTTAAAACTAAAAGCTTCTCAAAAACTGTATTTCAAAAGCTACAATATGAATTTTAAAAAATTAGAATTGTCCTACTTTACAATAACTACTAATATTTGTCATCGCTGATATTTATAACAATTGAATATTTAATAGTTTTGTACACAATTAGTAGCGTAGTATAACTTTAGAAACTATTATGTTAAAACTGCCTAACTGCAAGATATATAATGTAATTCGACACGTTAATTTCATGATGTAAGTAATTATACTTACTACGTTTTATATAAGTCTACGTATTGGTGAAATGTATTCGTATCATTTACAGTAATAATAACGGTCACATTCCATATTGATTTCAAGACGGAAAGTTCAGAAAGAGAGGAAAACCACACTCTTCAAAAAGTTTCGTCTTGTGTATAAACTATACATGAGCGAATGTAAAGTATTTATCTTTTTGGGTTTAAAATCAATACAAGTCCCAAAGAACATTTGATAAATCAACATTATCTTAATATAATATACAAGCCATTTATCCTATATCTGATTCTAAAAATATTTCTCAAAATTTCTACGTTTTCGTTCATCTCTTGAATAACAGTCACCTTCTCCGCGAACGTTTCCGCGCAATTATCCTCCGGAGCTGCCAACACGAGGGAGTCGGCAGTCTGCTTACGGACCCTCATCGCTCCACATTACCCACCGGGTGACGTGCCTCATTACCGGGCCGTAAACACAATTTATTAGTAGGTACGTGCCGCCCTGCCCTACTCTTCTTATTAACGCTCGCGCCACGGGAGGTCTTTTTATCTCGGGACGTGGCGCCCATTACGCGGCGCCATCCGCCGACAGTCACACACGCCCGCTCGCTTCGCCATTACCCCACCGGTGATACAGTTCTGAAACGTCACACCTCCAGCGCCTTTTGTAACAATACGCCCCCCCCCTCCCGCTGCCGAGCGCTTCTCATTGTTCGGGGCGTAATGCCCCTTTGTGTTTCGTTGGCGCGCCATCTCGTGCGTACAACTTTCCCGTGAGCCCCCCCTGTAAGTGCGTGTCGGAGCTTTTCGCGGGGACATACGATCCACCATTAGCCGTATGTTTCTTCGTCCCGCGCTAACCGGTGACTGCTCACCCATTAACAGCTCGTGTTTCCTCTTGTTGTTATCCTCGGCGTGAGTTTGTTCCGAATGCTTTGTTGCTGCTTCCGCGGAAAAGATCCGGTTGAGTTGATAAGAAGGAACAGGCCCAGAGCTATAAGATGAACAATTTGATCAGTCAAAAACATAAAACATTGAGTGTCACTTCCTTTTACTAATGAAATATAACCGGACTGGTGACGTAAGGAGTTTGGACAGGTGTGCCAAAGTACACAGGGACTAGTAAAGCTGTGGGTTCAAAGTCTGCGATTTCTTATGAATTTATTTGCGGTTTGTCACTACTCCCTTTCTGAACAGTAAAGAAGATTGGATTCATCATTCTACCTGAGTGCATTGGATGAGTGTGTGTGTGTGTGTGTGTGTGTGCGCGCGCGCGCGCGTGTGTGTGTGTGTGTGTGTGTGCGTGTGTGTGTCAGGGTCAGAGTGCTTACCATAGTTTTCTTTTTAATTTATGCGTGTCCTACTACTGATGCCGTTCTGAAAAGTAATACATTCTGTAGTATGTAATAGGCATATTACTATGTACAAGTATAGAGTAATATGCGTAAAACGATAGAGTACTTATGATGAATTTTGTTTCACACTTCATATTACTTTTATTTTAAACATATGCTGGTCATTCTACTTCTGATGTGTTGATCAGAGTCTATGCAGTAAAGTGATCAGAGTTGGTTCCCCAACCAACATCTACCCTAACCTTATTGCATATGTTTTTAATATATGACAACATTACAAAAATGTTGTATGTGAAGACACAGTCGTTCTTTTGGATTCTGGAGCAAAATCTGGACATTAAAGTCTTTAGAACTCCCCATCAACATTGTACCTAACAATATTGAATGTGTTTTTTATAATACGCAGAATTCTTACGACTTCGGTTTTGAGTGTAAAGTCACGGTCATGCTGCTGCATTCTGAACAAAATCTGGACAGTAAAGTAGTTCGACCTCCCCATCAACATTCAAGTGAATTGAATATCCGTTTGAACACTCGCAGAAATCTTACGAGTCTGTTGTCGTGTGTAAAGTCACGTCCATGCTTCTGCAATCCGGACCAAATCTGGACAGTAAAGTAGTTAGACTTCCCCATCAACATTCAACTAAGTTAAATATTATTTTTATCACATGCAAAATTCTCACGAGTCCGTTGTCGTGTGCGAAGGCGCGGCGGTGCTGCTGCTGCCGTTCTTCCTGACGGCGGCCGTGTTCAAGATCGGCAACCTGGCCAACGACGGCTTCAAGCTGGGCCGCCACCTGAGCACGTGCTCGGCCGACCCGCCGGGTGTGCTGCTGGGCGCCGGGGCCGGCGTGCTGCGCTCGCTGTGGCAGCACGGCGGCCCCACCGCGCCCTTCCTGCACCTCTGCACGGCCTTCTGCCTGCTGCTGCCCAAGCTGCTGGCCGAGGCGCGCCTCATCCAGCTGGGACACCTGCCGCCCAGTGAGTACCGTTGCAGATTCGCTTTCTTACGATTACTTCAGAACCGGATTTTTAATGTCACCCTCCAAAAAAAAAACAGAAAAAAGTTGCTATTTCTGAACCGTCGAAATTTTACATTCAACACTCGTGGTGGCCACGCGCCCACTTTTTGACGAACACTTGTTATTTACGAGAAAAACAATTCTCAATTTTTCGTTGTGCTTTTCTACCCAAGTGTATTGGATGTGCTTTTTAAAATAGACATATTTCTTACGAGTCTATGTTTTGTTGTGTGTATAGATAGGGCCCCCACCCCCACAAGAACCCCCTCCCGCGACTCGCCCAGGATTGCAAGTCGTAGTGTTGCTAGACGTACGGGAGTTCGCGTTCATGTGTCGTGTTACACGGTGTAAAATTATCACATTTATAGAAAATACGATACGATAAAAATGATACGATATACGATAAAAATGGTAGGAAATGATGATGTATTTATGATATTTTTATTATCACATAAATAATATCTGGGGCGGTTTGATAATAATTTATTTCGTTTAAAGCTTTTTTATTTATTCATTTATTTCATTTTAGCATTAAAATGTGTGTTAATTTTGCGTAAATTTCAAAAATATTTTCTTATTATTTTTGTTTAATTTATCGAGTTTAGAAATAATTTTCGTCATATTATTCTTCATGTTTCAAATCAATATTTCAGTTATTTCTCTTATATTTGCTTGTCTCATTGTACAATTGGTAATTTAAACTAAAAAGCTTTACGTGGATTTTTTTATTTCTGATTGTGCTATTCCCAAAGATTTGATTTTAATGAATTTTGTACATAGTATTACCTGAAATAAAACATTTCAACTTTTCCCCGCCTCATTTTATGAAGAGTTTTATATTTTTCTTTATATATAGGTATTTATATGTGAATGAGACGATTAGTGGACTTTTTTTCAAAAAGAGAGAAAATAATATGATGTTTATGAACAATTCAGCGTGACCAATTCAGTATGCAACTTTAACTATTATGTAGAAGAAATAAGCCCAATGTCCAATGTCGAAATGTTACCCGATGATCTTCTATGATTTTTAAAGAAACAATTGAACGTAACCTGATATAAACATTAATCTGACACGATTATGTCGTAATTTTTGAGTAATGATCTGTATTGTGCGATTTTAATAACTTTCAGCCCTGTATGATATTAATGTTTTAACAATTTGGCATCACTGCACGTGACACATCTTTTTGTGGCATGCTTGCTGGAAAGTTTTTATTTGTGGTGTCTGTAGGATTTATGCATTTTCAGGAAACATTGTAAAATTATATCGTGTTTGCTACGATGTTTTTGTGATGTATGCAATCCATTTTCAGAATCATCAGACCTGTCTTTGCAATCCGTATTGTGTTGAAATATTTCTTTCGAATAGAGGCTAGAGTATATTTCACGGTTATTCAGCTTCATAAGGTTTTTACAAACTTTGTTCTAGAACTTGTGTGACGTCTGAAGAATGTAGGGTTTTACAAAGACGAATTTAGTTTGATATTTGTGAGAGAATCATTTTCAGAGATAATATATTTTGAACCTCTTTACGATTAGTGTACACCTACGTTGGAAAATTAACATTGTTTCGTGTTAGGTGTCTTCCATTAAATAATACTTTAATGTTAAAAACGTTTGTAAAATGCAAGCTTAACAGATTTTGCCAAAAGTGCGAATTTTCGTTACTTCACACTTCCTTTTTAACAGAATTAGAACAGCAATCTTCAAAGCAACTAAATACCGAAAACGATCACTATAATATAGTTTCACGGCATGTGAAATTTTACGTAAAATTTGCATGTGATCAGTGCGTTAGTTTATTTTTTTACTAGTGTTAATATTTATTTTCTCTAATGTTAGTTTTGCTTTGTATTTGTGCCATTCCACGGGGTGCATTTGCATATTGTCTTTATGAAATTCTTTGTTTTGTTGTTTCATATTATCTCCCACTCTTGCATGTGCATTTTTTGAACCTCCTCCACCCTACAAAGCTGTTTTTATGAAATTTTGTCTCGTATCATCTGTTTGTGCATCGCTTTTACCCGTTGTATTATATTACTTAGTTACTTCATGTTTTTATTTCCTCTTTGTGTTTTTGTAACCAGCACATGGCTTTGTCTACGTAATCGTGTTTCCCAATGTGTATTTAGTACGTGTATATAGGAACAAAGTAAGCTACATATTGATTCCAGGAACCCGGTGTGTGTGTGTGTGGGGGGGGGGCTGCGATGTCCCTAGCGTACTAAAAAAAGTCGAGATAATCCGAGGCTTCAATGAAATTGTCAATCAGTGACACAAATGAATTGGGATACTAATTTTTCACAGTTTTTGTCTCGTGTGAGTTATTCACTTTCATACCTGGAATGCTGTGCAGCAGGAGATTTTCTGTACATTAAATGCGACAAGAAACTCAGAAAACACGAAATATTTCCGGTTTAGGTATGTAGCAATGGTAGCAAACAAAATGAAAGCAAGAAAAGAAGCACAAGAGAAACTTTTAGTGATAAAACAATCTGTTTAGAGAACATCAAGTGCGAGAAACTTCCAAAAACAAAAAAAGAGCAGGGAGATTTGAAGCCAGGGGGTAGATAATCAAGGAAGGGAGTACGCAGTTCGACGAGAACGGGGATAGTGATTAATTGTGACTGGCACAAAGATTGAGTAGGCAGAGAACAAAATCCCAAAACGTCGAATACGGAAGGTAAAAAGAGTACGAAAAATGAAAAGAAAGCTTAAGAGAGATTCTCAAAGGGGGCTAGAGTTTTTTTTTTTTGAAAGAATTATTTCACGAGAACACGAGAGTACTGGTAAATGTAAGAGAATTCATATTTACAGCGTTTGAGAAGCGCAGAGGTCGAGAATGCAGAGAATAAAAAAGCAGGTAACATCGCTAGCAAACAACAGAACAAAACCGAGGGAGAAACTGGGAGCGACTGACAAAGAAATTCTGTAAAATAATACCTTTGTGCAATAAATTTCCATAAACTAGTAACAACCATTTCTATAAAGAATTTCCAATAAGTAATTAGCTTTGTGTTGCGTGAGTTACTCGTTTTATTGTTAAATAAAATGTTTAGTGCATGCGTGTTGGGTTTAGTATTTATTTGTTACGTGGGTGTTTTATACATTTTTATGCTTTTGATTTCCTAGGATGATTTTTTACTAAACGTAGATGCAACGTAACTTTAATTTAAAATTTTGTTCGCAACTTTATAACGGGTCGCAAATCGCACACATGGAGCCATAATTTTTAATTAAAACGAAACAAAAATCCACTAACAAATTTATTTATTTAACTTCTCAATACATTAATATTTAAACTAATTTTAATAAAAAAGATACAGCAGCGCAAAAGGTCCTTTGCTCCGTGGCTCGGTTCGTGTCGGCGCAAAGGACAGGGACCGATGAGGGAAACAGCCCGAGATAAATGCGTGCAATATTTCCAGTTTTCGCCACGAGGCTGCGCTGCCAGCGCGGAGAACTACCTTGGCAAAGCATTCATCCCAGCGCGCCCGGTGTGTCGCCCCAACTCCCACCTCTTCGTCAGCCACCTGGTGTACGACCTCTTCTGGAGATCGATGAACGACCAGACTCGTTTTACCCTATAGTGACGGGAGAATATGGTCTCCAGGAGAAACGGTGACGTTAAAGGCGGCCGATGCTGCAAAGTTGCACTTTGATATGGTAGTCAGGAATGGCTGAGATATCTATCTTGTCCATTGGACCAAAGTAACTCTTCCTAAAAATTGTCATTTTCCAGGAAAACGGTTTTAATCAGAGAGACTTGTTAATTTCAGCTCCAAACACACAAATGCTCTTCACTCACTCTTCACTCTCTTTACTAGGTCTATCGCTCTCTGTGAAATTTTAGTAAAGAAAATATAATCCTTTATAAACATATACCTTTATTTAACTAAAAAGATGTCGCCCCCTCCTCTCTATACTGACGCTATGTTCTCTGAATTGAAGTAGTGTCGATAAGTCTGTTTTCGAAACATTGCCCTCCACGCCTGCAATATCTCAAGACGAGCAACCGCTCATCGATATGCGCGCAAATTTCCGCGCCAGGGATTTCTCGAGAACGCAGGTTTCGCTTCGATTACAATATAGAAGCGGCACGGAGGCACGCATAGTGGGTGTGCTTCGGGCAACACAATGAAGCAAACACGAGGTTGTTTGTTGCCGGGTGAATGCTTGTATTTGTGAAGATTGATTAATTGATTTATGTCAAGATTGATAGATTTTGTGGAGTATGTTTAATTATTTATCGATTATTGTTGATTCCGGCCGCGTCAATTGCTAAGGTACTTAGTTACCTTAGGTTCTTAGGTACCTTAGGTACTTAAGGTACTTAGTCTTATAAGTGAAGTGCATGTTTTCCCTCGTGAGGTGGCGGTGATATTCCCTCGCTAGATGCCGAGATCCGGCGTTGACCTACCGTGGGCTAACGGGATTTTCCCCAACTCGGTATCTTCCCCCAGCAGGGCACCGCCACAACCGAGAGAAGCTCTAAGCTCTCGAGTGGTCTCCCGCCGAGTGTGGTAGTTTAGTGCACGTGATGGTAAGTGTAAGGGGTGAGGAGACGTTAAGGAAGAGGAAAGGAAGATCGCGCGCGGTGCATGGTCGTTTGTTAGGATAGTGCTTCAGCATTCTCCTGGTGTTTATGAGAGTACCCACGGAAAATTACCGATCAGAGGAGCTGCTACATACCTCCTCCAGATAACTACTGTCTTCCCTTTGGCTATGTAGGTAGTGTCGAAAATTCTACCACTGTAGGGCCTCACACCCTAGTACCTCCCGGTCGATGGCAGAGTTTCGAAGAGTTTGGTCTCGTTGCTCAAGAAGAATCTCCTTGAAATCCCGCTGAGTTTCAGATATAGTTTCAGACAAAAATATTTTGTTTTTATGGAGGTAACTTTATAATAATTGCATTGTATTTGCTTAGTGTCTCTCCGAGAATGTTTGTAACACACG